TTAGTATGAAGGCTTGGAAAAGATTTGTCTGAAGTGTGGGTCTTATTTTGAATGAGCATGTTGCTCATGCTCAACTCCAGCGGCTACCCCCACTCCGGAGGTCTCGGTCAGTGAGACTAATGTGGTGAAAGAACCCGATACTTTGTATGGAGAATGGATGATAGCGAAGCGCAAACCTAGAGTCCGGAAGGACAGTACGCCCAACCAATCGGGGAAAGGAGGTACCAAAGAAATTGCTAGGGGTGTTAAGGAATCTGGCAGTGTGGGCTCGCATTTTAATGTCCTGGAGGATGAGGCAGAGAGAGCTCAAGATCGTGAGGTGGGCCAGCATAAAGCCATGCAACAAACTGCTGCAAGTAAGGATGGGACCTTTCGTGGGAATAAGATCAAACGTCATGGGAAAGATATTTTGAGAGAGGAACCTACTAGGGACGTAAGGAAGCATGCAGCCATGCAGGGAGTGCGGATCATGGAGCCTTCGTCGCAATTCCAACAGAAACTCCCGGCTGTTTCAAAGACAGTGATTGCTCCATCGAACACTTTGTTTGGAAATAAGGGTGACCAACCTATAGAACAGATGCCAAATGCCCTTGAGCTACAATTGAGTGAGGAATCTTTAGGGGACATAAGGTTTGAAGCAGACACGCCAACGGGTAGGACAGAGGCTCTTGACCGCAAGGAGAAGCCGCCTGACCTAAAGGGGGGGGGGGGAGGAGCTTATGAGAGTAATAAAGAAATATCTACTGGGGAGTTTCCGAATGCGATGATGATAGATGAAGCGAGGAGTAGCCTTAACTTTAAGGATACTAAGCCTTCTGCGTAACCGTTGTGACCTGTGTTGCACCCTCCCACATTATAGATGTTTAGTGTCTTTTCATGGAACTGCAGGGGGGCGGGGAGCAAGAGATTCCTGAGAGTCTTCAAGGAATATCGGAGAAAGTATCGACCGTGTTTAGTGATTATTGTGGAACCGAGAATAAGTGGAGCGAAAGCGCAAGGTGTAGTAGAAAGTTTGGGTTATGATAAGCATCTAGTTGTGGACGCGAATGGTTTTGCATGAGGTATATGGGTGGCATGGGACTCGTCCATAGTCACCATTACTGAAGCAGATCGATCAGATCAGTTTATTCATGTTCGGGTCTGCTCGGGCCACGAGAATTGGCTTTTAACAGCTATATATGCGAACCCAGCTCTTGTACAGAGAAGAGAGTTGTGGAAATCCATTAGAACTTTGGAGGAGGATATGGTGGAGCCGTGGTTGCTTGTAGGAGATTTCAACTCAATCCTCAATCCTGCCGATAAGATGGGAGGTGCTCCCTTTGATGCGAGTAGGGCTCGAGATTTCCAAGACTGTGTGTTGGATGCGGGTCTGGTTGATTTGGGATTCTCGGGACCTCCCTACACCATGTTCAAAGAGGGTATTAAAGAGAGACTGGATAGAGGGTTGAGTATGCCAGCTGGTCGGCGATCTTCCCAGATACGGTCGTTCGTCATCTCCCAAAAGTAAAGAGTGATCATCGGCCGATACTCATCAGCCTAAATCCGGGGTTTCAACCCGCTGGCCCGAAACCATTTAAGTTCCTCGCGGCCTGGCTCACTCACGAGGGATTTAATGATATGGCGACTACAGCTTGGGCACGGGGAACTGACCTGTGTAGTGCTATTGCGGAATTTGCCAAGGAAGCACAGAGCTGGAACTATCATACCTTTGGGAACATCGTGAGGAAAAAGAATATGCTACTAGCAAGAATTGAAAGGCTGGAGATGCGAGCTAATGGTGACTCGATGGATGAAGCCTTGAAACAAGCCCGGGAGGAGCTTGAGCTCGTCCTCCTTCAGGAATAGATACTTTGGGCTCAAAAGGCGAGAGTTGAATGGGTGTTGTCGGGGGATAGAAATACCAAGTACTTCCATGCACGAACGGTAGCTCGAAGACGAAAGAACAGAGTGTCATCTTTGAAAAATAGTGCTGGAGAGTGGGTGGAGGATCAGAGTCTACTTCTTGAGATGGCAAAATTGTACTTCTCTGGACTCTACACAGATGACGGCAGCCCCTCCCTGGGACTACCAGCTATGTTTAACGAACTCCCGGAGTCGGCTTGGTTACCGCTGGTTCACCAGGCGATTAAACCGATGGGAGCACTCAAAGCGCCTGGCAAGGATGGATTGCAACCTTTGTTCTACCAACGTTGCTGAAGTCTTGTGAGTCAGGCGCTGGTGAGCTTTGTGCGAGGATGCTGGTCGGATCCAGCTCGGGTGCAAGAGGTTAATGCCACCATCGTGGTACTCATTCCTAAGCCCCGCGACCGAATTTGATTGAGCAATATCGTCCCATTAGCCTGTGTAATGTGGCGTACAAGGCTATCACGAAGTGTTTGGCAGAAAGAATAAAACCTCTTATGCCTAAGCTGGTGCACGAAACTCAGACGAGTTTCGTTCCTGGAAGGCATATAACTGACAATATATGTGTTTTACAGGAAGTGGTTCACTCGATGCAAGCAAAGAAGGGTAAAGTGGGATGGGTGATTCTTAAAATCGAATTGGCTAAGGCTTATGACCGGATTAAATGGAGTTTTGTTCGCGATACCTTACAAGCAGCAGGGGTGCCGCAGGCCCTTACTGAGCTTACCATGAGTTGTATCTCGTCATCCAGCATGCGAATCCAATGGAATGGCGGGCTAACAGTGGCATTTAACCCTTCCAGGGGCCTTCGCCAAGGATGCCCCTTGTCTCCATATATCTTTACGCTTTGCATGGAGCGCCTTGGGCATCTCGTTACTGCGGCGGTAGCTAGAGGAGCATGGAAGTCAATAAAGATATCTCAAGAGGGACCAGCACTGTCACATTTATTCTTTGCGGATGATCTAATCTTATTTGGCGTCGCATCTTTGGAACAAGTGCAGGTGATTTCGCTGTGTCTGGAGGAGTTAGAAGCGGCCTCCAGTCAACAAGTTAGCAAGCCAAAGTTGAGAGTCTACTTTTCTCAGAATATTAGTACGGCGACAGTGCAAGAATCAGTGGAGCACTTGACATACCTGAGACAAAGAACCTGGGTCGATATTTAGGAGTTCCGGTGATACATGACCGAGTTTCCAAAGCCACCTATACAGAACTAATTGATCGCATCGACTCCCGTCTGGCGGGGTGGCGAGTGAAATCACTCTCCTTGGCTGGCCGAGTTACCCTTGCTCAGTCTGTCCTGTCGTCGTTACCTGCTTATACGATGCAGACAGCTTTCTTGCCGGCTTCGGTTCGAGATTATATTGACAGAAAGATCAGGGGTTTTATCTGGGGTAGTTCAGAACAGGGAAGGAAGATTCATCTCGTGGACTGAGAGACTTTATGTAAACCGAAAGAGGAAGGAGGCCTGGGGATCTGTAGCGCGACAAGAATGAATGAAGCCTTTATGATTAAGATTGCATGGAGATTGATGAAGGAAAAGGATAGTCTATGGGCACAGGTTATCCGGGGGAAGTATCTTAAACGAACAGAACAAGGTTGGGTTCCTAGAGTAAATGGAAGGCTATCTAACCTCTGGAGAGGTGTGATCAGAGTGCTCCACTATATCCTGGAGGGTACGATGTGGTCAATCAATAGTGGTATGAATAATTTGTTTTGGACTGACCGTTGGCTCCAGGACGGACCAACTTTTGAGGCTCTGGCGGTAAACCTCCCTGAAGAGGCGAAATCCACTACTGTGGCAGAGATGGTTTTGAATAGCAGCTGGAATATTGATTTTGCTCGTGTGTTCCTCCCTGAGGAGCTGGTGCAACAACTTCTTCTTCACCCTGTCCCACAAGGTGTGGAACCTGATGAACCCATATGGAGGTTGTCTGAATCGGGGAAGTTTACGTTGCGGACAGCTTATGAGCTTACGAGAGGGGAGGGTGAGTTTCATCATCACCCAATTTGAAAAATCCCATGGAAAATACAAGGCCCCCAACGTACTAGGACTTTCTTCTGGCTTGTTCTTCAGCAGCGGCTGCTCACGAATGCTGAACGAGTCCGCTGCCACCTTGCTCAATCAGACGTATGCCCTATTTGTGGCGGTGGGCCGAAGACAATTCTTCATGAGATTAGAGACTGCCCTTTTGCTCGTGAAGCATGGTTGGAAGTTCTCCTTGGCGAACCAAATACAGATTTTCTCCAGGCGGATTTGAAGAAATGGGTGATGCATTATTTGACGAGGCGGAGCAAAGTTATTGACTGCTCTATGTTTGCTATATTTTGCTGGCAGTTGTGGAAAAACAGGAATCTTTGGGTGTTTGAGAAAACATTACTAACTACAGCTCAAGTGGTGATCCAGGTTCGCCGCATTCGAGATCAAGTGGAAGGAAATCTTGCGAATTCGGGACGAGTTACGGGGGAGAAATCAGGCCGAACTGTTCGAATGATTGAATGGCAGCGTCCCCCTCAAGGATGGGTCAGCTTGAACACGGATGGGTCGGTTGTCCCTAACCAGGGAAGCACGGCGGCTGGAGGAGTGCTTCGAGATGAGAATGGCAGGTTTATGAGTGCGTTCATTACCAACCTTGGCGGTGGCTCTATTACGCATGCGGAGTTGGCGGGGATCGATCATGGTATGCGACTGGCTTGGGATAGCGGAGTGAGAAAGCTCTTAGTTCAGACTGACTCCGCGGTGGCAGTGGCTCTGCTGCGTGGGGAAGCCGCCGGACATCCTCATGCCACCCTTGTGCGCTCCGTGCAGCAGAAGTTGACATTGAACTGGGAGGTTCGGATTGAGCATGTGTTTCAAGAAGGAAATTTTGTTGCAGACTATTTAGCCTCCGTGGGACAAACTGTTCCTGTCGGCATCCATATTGTCGACGTCCCTAGTTCTATATTAGCCTACTGGTTATATTTCGATTTAGCCGGGATTCAAACCCAGCGCGTTATCAATGAGTAAGGGTTGAGCGCCCCATGCGCTCGTTTTCTCACCAAAAAAAAAAAATTATATTATTGGGCGATAGTGCGTAACACCGCAACTAGGTAAAAATCAATCAATGCCATTCAGCAAAACGAAGTCGTTTCCCGGACTTGACTTCAGTCCCGAAAACTCCATCATCGTACACATCGAAGTCTGCAACGTATGTTTTGTGACTGAATTCATCTTCCCCGTTAAACGCTGTGAAACCAAGACGCTTGTCTTGAAACGCCAGCCGACACCAATACACCGTCTCGAGGACACCCCCGAAACCCCAATCGAAGTAAAAATCCGTCACGACCGCGTGAGCGTGGAGATCGTCGTCTCCCGATTTGCAATGCACTATCACCGCCTTTTTGCTGCTCAGCTTGTTGTTAACGCGAATCGTGAAATAATCTGTCGTCGAAACTTGTACTAGCACCGTCGCCAAAACGACCGCCGCTAGTCCCAGCGCGCTGCGGACCGTCGTCATTTTGTATACTAATCGTTCTTTTCAGGAACTGGTAATTTATAAGAATGGTGTAGTACTACTGATTGGCGCATACCTGTTTATATCGTATGTACGGCTCTCTGCAAGTGGCGATTGGTTCTTTACTTGTTGGTCTTATGTTACTTGGACAGACGGTTTCTCAGGATTGTTTTCGGCAGCTTTGTCGTTTAGGTTATGGGTTTTATGACAAGAATACAAAGAATGACCAAGGAGCTAGAGTGTTTAAGATTAGGGATGACAATATTACTCCTTAGTCATTCTTTGTGGGTTGGGTATGGAATTCAAATAGATGTTATATGGGTAGAGTTTGATAGGTTTGTACCCATACCCATTTACTTGGGTTGGGTTGGGTTGGGTTTTTAACATATGAATTTGGGTTTGTACCCATATCCAAATGCAAATTACAGTTTGGTACCTAAACTTAATAGTTATGCATATTTAGTACCTAAATTAATTATTTTTTTTGCATAGAAGTCCTCAAAATATCGATGAAAAATTACATTTTAGTATCTTAAATTTTTTGGTCTCCCATTTTGGTGCTTAATCTTTTCAAGTTTTACAAATAGGTCCAATTTTTGTATGTGTAGTTAAAACACTCTCAAGTAAATGGATATCCATATCCAATCCATACCCATTTAGATAATATCCATATCTAACCCACACTCATATACAAACCCCAAACCCATACACACATCCCCCAAACCCTACCCATAATAAATGGGTCTACTTGGGTTTGGGCAAAATTACCCATGGGTGGGTAAATTATCATCCCTATTTAAGATACATATACATGGACATCTCTTGCAATAATTCGAGTTATTGCGACCAATTGGTTTATGATAAGGTCTCAGATTTAGTTTGTCATTGAGGTTGCATGTTCAACTCCTGATCACATAACCGCCAATATTAACCGTTGTGTTAAAGCACATTACACTACGAATATGTAAGAGTTTCAAATACATGAGTTGACTTTCGTTATGAGAGAGCGTGTAAAAAGTGGTTAAAATATTATACAACTCGGTGCCCAATATTAGACGCGTTGTCATGCACGTACATATTTATAGTCTTGCTACCAATATATTTCACTTGAATATACCAACATCGTTTTACACGTTCCCACATACAAAATTCGAAGTCATGGGTTGAAATCCCTGTCATATATATACTATGTGCTTAATTTACAATTAGTTTGCTCTGTGAGAATATTAAAAAAAATCATCACAATTATTTTCTTATTCGTGTTTTTTTGAAATTTGAATTAAAATGTAAAATAATGAAATCCTACTTATATATTAATTTAGAAAATTAAGAAATGTCAGCTTATTATCGTACTGTTTTCTTTTGGAAATTGGATCGTATAGATCGGTCCGGTTGCAACATGAACCATTTACACCACGGTTTCGTTCAATCTCTGGGTGTGGGGACTGAGGAGGCTAAAAATCATCACGGTCAGGTTTTAATCCAGATAAACGAATCTAGATTAACCCTAGGAGGAAGCAGCATAGTACTATCGAGTAGGGGCTGATGGCTTCGCGCTTGTTCGAAGAGAGGGGGAGGGAGGTTTTGATCGGTTTGGATTCGGAGGCGACCGATGCTTTCTACGTCTTGTTCTTCTCATTGTAATTGAGCTTCAGCACGCACAACCACAATGCGGAAAGATTTGAGAAGTTAAAATGAAACCCTACAAATTTGCGTGTTTTTCATTCATTCTTTGCGGAGAACTACAAAGATAAAACATAATAACTCAAAAAATCTAAAACTAAACATTGACAATAAGACTAAACTTAATGATGATAACTTCTTCTAAATATTGTCGATCCACTTAATCACTCTTTGTCTTTTTCGTGGTTCCAGTTCAAATTTAGATGATGACGACTTTTAATATCTCTTGTTACACAACGTGACGGATGAAGCTAGCAATATATAACAAGCTAGATCCTTTTTCCATCTCATCTAAAAGGAATTTTTAATAGGAGCCGTCACTCGATGATTATCAGACTTACTATAATTTTTTCTCCTCGATAGTCCATGCCACCAGAGCGCCAATTAGGGGTGGCTATACGGTCCGGTCCGGTTAAATTGGACCAAATTGATCCGGTTCCAGTCCGGTCTTTCGGGAATATAAGGACCAAAGATTGGATTGGATACAGTTCGGTCTTGATCCGGTCCAGTCCCAATTTGATCTTGATTTTAGGTGTTGGGGATCTCTTATCCGGTCTTTATCCGGTTTTTTACCTCAAATCTAAGCTCGAATATGAAATTGGATTGTTTGCTATCCGGTCTCAGTTCGGTCCCAATCCGGGTTATACGGTCCGGTTTCGAGTAAAACCAAACAGTCCAGACCAAATAGCCAGCCCTAGCACCAATCCAACAACAAAATATAAAAGGGATATAAGTATACGATCGCGTCGATCATAAATCAACGCGACCTCCTAAACAGGGTACGATATATCTTTTGCGACCGAAGAAACAGAAACCGTCGTTAATTTAGCTAACGAGTTACGTTCCACCTGGCGAGGTGCAGCCACTCCCCACTATCGCGGTCCACCGCGTAAACCCCTCGATCGAGCACGTCGTAGCTGTCCATGTACGTGCTGTGATCGTCCTGTTCGAACGCGGTGAAAGAGAGACGCTTATCTTCCACCGCCAGGTTGCACCAAAAGAACGTCCCGCCGAACCAGTTCTGGTCGAAACTCCACGTATAAGTAGTGCCGGCCTCGATGGCGTGGGCGTGGAGATCGTCGTCTTTGGATTTGCAGTGCGCTATCACCGTTATCTTGCGGCTCAGCTTGTTGTTGACGTAGATCGTCGTCCCACGTTCCGCCGTGGCGATGTGTAGTAGAACTGTCGCAAAAACGACCGCCGCTAGTAACGCTTTTGGGGCCATAGCAAGCTGCTTCGTCGTCATTATATAATCTCTATACAGTAATCTGTTTCTCTGTTAATTAATGATCATTCCGATAATCAAATAACTGGGCAGTCCTTTTATAACGAGGAGTAGACGAGTAGTAGTGCGGGGAAAGATGATGGTTAGGGTATAATAAAAGGCGGGAGGGGATTGTAGGGCTCTAGGCGACGTACGGCTCTCTGCATGTGTCTTGGTTCCTTGGATGTATATGTATCTGCGGATAATTTTCGGTGGGTTTGTCGTTTAATTTTGAAGGACTTATAGCTGACTAGATTACAATTGTCACTTAGCGAGATTAGGATAATCGACAATATAAGAAAGAACAAACAAATCGTGTGTAATTTCTTCACTATATTTGAGAAGATTACAAATTATAGGCACTTTGCCCATATAGAGGTAAACTATGTTCTCTCATTGAGTTGGGTTTAGGGGTGGACATTCGATCGGTTTAATAAAGCCCAACCCAAACAAAAACAATCCTAAATGCCTTTGATTTTAAGATCCAAATTCTAACCAAAATTGATTTTCGTTCGGTTTGTTTTGAACCAAAATAAAGCCAGTTAGTGAAGTTGACTCTCTCCCGCTTCCAATCTATCTATTAGCTAGTACCTTAGAGAGAGTCTTGTAGAGGACTTTGCGCAGAACCCGATAGGTCGGAATTCAGCTGTAATGATTCGTTTCTTAGTCTTGGCCTCTTGGGAATGAGGGTAAGGTTTGATGTGGGTTAGATTAGAATTGAGCTGAGGCTGGAGGGTGGAGGCCGAGAGTGCAACTGGCAGACTAGAGATATCAAGGTGATGAAAGAGAGGTAGAGTACAAAAGTTAAATCTTTTCAAGCTGAATTCAAGAAACTCAAAAGAAGGGACGATGATATATGGCCAATTTTCAGATTAGATTAATGATTATATTGAGATTTTGCTGGACTAGTTTGTGGGTGTGGGCTAGCAGTTGGATTATAATTTATTGAATTGAGGGATGCAGCCCATACTCATATGACGCGCTTAGGCACACACAAAGAGTTTGGGTTGGGCTGGAATTTTTGCTTGGACTGGTTTGTGGGAGTGGGCTAGCGGTGGGCTTAGAGAAGTTCTACCTGTTTGGTTTGTTCGGTCGATAAGTTCGGTGTTCAGTTCGTCAGTTCCGAAGTTAGTTACAGCTGCAGACTTTTCGTTTTTTGAGCCGATTACTACTTCAGTTCGGTTCGATCAGTCAAGATGACGGTTCGGTCCGATTTGGTTCAGATTTACCAAACCGGTTACCGAGCTTTAGCTGGGTTCCATTCGAACTACTATGTGTAATTAGGGTTGTTCTTGTCACGAAGTCTCATTTGTACTTGTCTAGCTTCTGTCAACAACCGATCGAGATAATCGACAATGCAAAAAAAGTAAAAAAATACACAAATTTTATGTGATTCACTAATACGATGTGCATTAGTTAGTCAAGGGCAGGTAAGAGCAAACTTCACTATAGTTGAAAAGATTATAGAGGAGGATGAAAAGTATAAACAATAATTTTTCAATGGCCTAACCCTAATCCAATATGCATGATAAAGAATAAGGTTACAGACCATGCCCAGAACAGAAACTCAAACCTGCATAAGCCCATACCCCCTCCACAATTCCCAATCGGAAGAAGCTTGCCTCCCGAGCCCCCTAACCAGACGCTTCACCCCTGAACCCTCACTTGCTGACAGGGCAACAAGATTCCAACTACTTTTGGTGGACGACAGATAATCTTATTCAAGTCATGTTAACATTTTCAAATAAATAAATAAATAGAGTGTTTGTTACGTACGGCATTATCGATTTGTGCCCTTAAACTCTGATGGGATCAATTCTTTTCTTTCCATCCAAGAGGACTGGATTCAACTTAGCTTTGGTCTTAGCACCGAATCAAATCTAAGCCTATAAATCCAAGCAACATAATTAACAGCCATAAGGGAGGACCAGTAGCAAGAAGTCACAGGCCGGTAGAGCCGTACGTAACCAAAGAGCACTCTAGGCCAGGGGCGTAGTTAGAGTTTAACAAGGGGTGCCATAGATTTGGAGAAATAACAAAATAAATATTAGTAGTAATTAGGGCTGTCAACCGATCGGTTTTCGGTTAAACCGAGACCTGACCAATCACCACCGGCCACCGACCGACCCTGGCGCCTCGGTTAACTGTAAACCGACCGGGCGGTTTCGGTTAAGCCACGGTTAAACCGGCAACACCGAAAAAGGGAAGGGAGGTTCGGTCTGCTACCCTAACCGACCGAAAACCGGAATTTTTTTATTTTAATAATTAATTAATTATTTAATTACATGATAAATAAATAAAAAAAACTAAAAGGGAGAGGGTCTTTAATCACCCGACGCTTCCTCTCTCCTCATCTTCTTTTTTTTTTGACGTGTCTCTCTCTCCTCATCTTCAATTCTTCATCTCTGCTCATCTCGTCCAACCTCTCATCCTCAAAAGCTCCGCCGCCGTCGCATCTTCCCGCACCAAAATTTAGCCGCCGATTTCTCTTCTTCTCTCATCGAATCTTCTTTGTCGCCGCCGCACCGGTGCTCAAGCTTCACCATCGAATCGATTCCTCTTCTTCCCCCATCGGATTCTAGATCTGGCGCCGTCGCTCCCTGTCGCTGTTGTCGGCTGGCTCGCGACCGACGGAGGGAGGAAGGCGGGGTCGTCGGGGAGGGGTGGTGGTTGGCTGGGGACTTCGCCGTCGATTCCTCTTCTTCCCCATCTGATTTTGGATCTGCCGCCGCCGCTCCCTATCGCTGATGTCGGCTGGCTCGCGCTCGACGGAGGGAGGAAGGCAGGGTCGTCGGGGAGGGGAGACGGGACATCGGGGAGGGGTGGTGGTTGGCTGGGGGCTGGCTGCATGTGACGGCTGGGGGAGACGAGAGGTTAGGTTGGGATTTGGGGTCGTTTTCGGAGGAAAGGGGAAGGGGGTCGGTTACCCAGTTAACCGACGGTTTTCGCCGTCGGTTTCTCGGGTAGCCGACCCCCTTCCCCTTTCCTCCGACAACCGACCGCGGCAAGATGGGGACGGTTTTCGGTTAGCCGAAAACCGGTCGGTTCGGTCATAACCGACCGGTTAACTGCTAACCGGAAACCGTTCTGCCACCCCTAGTAGTAATTAGTTAGTTGATGATTATATTTAAATCCTAAATTTCAATGTCATTCGTCAAATCTTTTAGCGTTAAATCATAACAAACTAATAAATTAATTTCATTTACTAATTTTTACATGAAAATTAGTTTCTATCGATGTATTTTTGCTTGTGAAAATAGATTTGATTTGCTACTATCATCTGTCGATTCACAAGTAAATAACATTTTATGTTATGAAACGATTGATCAGCCTTCGCATCTAGTGAATTAAAGCAGTGAATTGTTATTCGGTGATATACTTTAAGTGCGAAATCTTGATAGTTTGGTCGATTCATGTAATTATAGAATAATTTCACAATATAAAACACGATACCGCATATATAATTTTTTTTATGGCACCCCCTTAAAAAAATCCTGACGACGCCACTGCTCTAGCTATAATTATAAACTCTATCATTAATCATAAAAGAACCGCTCACTATCATAGCAATTAATTCAGTCATTTGAGAGCAATTTTTTTTCTCTCTCGTTTCGGTATTATTATTAGACAAATTGACGATTGGTGACTTGATGTCACCAACCAGTTGAGCAGCAGCAGCAACGACGGCGGGGCGGTAGTACTCCTAGTGCACTGCCAATCTCGGCGGCCGCGGAATCGACGTCGGTTCTAGGTACACGTGGCACTTCGTGACGAATCTTTTCGGAGGGACGTACTTCTGGTGCGACCTGGATTTGGCCTTTGGGGGATTTTCGTCTTACTTTCACGGCGTTCGATGAGGAGAAGAAGCTGGTGTCGGTTCATTTCGGAGTTCTACGTCGGCGACGGTGGCGTTTATGAGACCTCCGGCTGTTCGGGGAATCCAAATGTTGCGTGGAGGCCGAAACATTCGCATCCGATCGAATTAAATTTGACATAATGTAATTTCCGAAAATTCATCTTGTAATAAGATTATCAAAAGGTTGATAGAAATGCATGGCTTCATGTCGGTAGATTATCAAGAACTCAATGTGAAATTTATATAAGACAACATGGGCTAGACGCGATACTCGGACGGTATGATCCAGGAGGTTTTGTGAGTTGTGACCTTCCTCTACCAACCTTCTTATTATCGTTCCTTTATAGGATTATCTATGATCTCTTCCTAATGGGGTGAAAATGAGAGCAATTTGATCTTGGTGTATTAATTGGGAGAACACAATTTCGAGCTTCTTTGTATACTAGTCACCATGAGTTCCCATAAAATCCAAGGTGATTAGGTATTGGGTTTCCACCCGTTTAGATCCATATATGAAAAAAGGATGTCTTTGGATTTCATACTTAGATCACTTCTATTTAGCCCACATAATCAAAAAGCTGATATGATTGTAAACAAAATATGTGGCCTATTCAGAAATGAATTTCCTTACATATGACTTTCATGGTGAAGACGAGATAGTCAATGGTAAAACCACGATCGTGTGTCGTATGATCATTCGTCTTGATAAATTATAGTTGTCGGGAGAGGTATCTAGCTAGAGAAGGGATTTCATAATTTTCTTTCATGTTTGTACATTATGTAACCTCATAGTAAATGTTGAGAATGGATAGTTTTGTACATCAATAGAGCTATGAATAGGGCTGTCACTCGGTTTTCCGGTTAGCGGCTAACCGGTCGGTTTCAACCGAACCGACCGGTTTTCGGCTAGCCGAAAAACCGATTTTGAATAGGTCGGTCGGTTGACGGTAGAGGAAAGCAGGGGTCCGGTTAGCCGAGTAACCGAAGCCGGTTAACCGCGACTAACCGGCCGACCGACCCACAACCGAAAATATAAAAAAGAGAAGTTTAACCCTCCACTCCAGCTTCTCTCTTTCTTCCCTAACTCCTTCGACTCTTCTTCTCTCTTTCTTCCTACAAATCCTTCCACTCCACAGCAGATCCGACCCTCACCTCTCCTCCTCCTCCTCACCTCTCCTCCTCAGTTAACTCCTTCGACTCTTCTTCCTCTGCATGGAGGCCAGATCCTCGCGCCGCGCCAGTCGCCGCACCTCGCTCCGCGTCGCCGCGCCCGTCGCCGCGCCTTGCTCCCGTCGCCGCGCCCGGCGCCCGTCGCCGCGCCCCGCGCCCGTCGCCGCGCCCTGCCCCCGTCGCCGCGCCCCGCCCCCGTCGCCAACACCAGCAAAATCCAGGGAGAGAATCGAGGGAGGAGGCGAGAATAGGGAGAGAGAGAGAGTCTGGGAAGAAGAATGGTGGGAGTTGGTTGTTCGATTTTCATTCTAGAGGAAGAAGAGAATAGAGAGAGAGTAGGGAGAGAGATGGTCTGGGAAGAGAATCGAGAAAACGGAGGGGAAAGAAGATCGAGAAACTGAGGGGTTAGGTGAGGGGTTAGGTTAGGAGTGTGTGGTGCAGATTTATTGTTAATTTCTTTAATTTTTTTTTTTTTAAAGGTTGTATCCGGTTGACCGCCTAACCGAGCCGAAACCGGAAACCGGTCGGTCGGTTTGCGGCTAACCGAGGCTCACGGACGGTCGGTTGGCGGTAGCTCTGTCGAGGTCTCGGTTTGACCGATAACCGACAATTCGGTTTTCGGTTAAACCGAAACCGACCGAGTGACAGCCCTAGCTATGAAGATAAAATCAGTGATGAGTTAGGGTGATTACTGCTATTTTAGTAGCCACTGTGCGTACCAATGTCTGTTCATTTTTCTTATTTTCCCTCTTCTTAAATTGACGATAAAAATTGGTCCGAAGATAATTGTGTAAACGAAAAAAAATACTAAATATTATTATTATTTTTTAAAATCTAACTTCGATTTTCACATCTATCTCGTTACCACCACCTCCCTCCCTTCCTCTCTTTCTCCTCGACGAACTGCCGCCCGCCATCCCTCTTTCCCTCCCGGAAGACAAGGGAGCTCTCTCCCTCCCTCCCCCTCTCTTTGTGTAAACTTTTTGGTGATATTTTTATATGCACATATTGCTAAACTACTTGCTCTTAGTGTTGCTAAGAAATGGTCGTGTCTATTGAATAATTTTTTCGATTGTTGCATTTTGCGGCACCTACTTTTACCAACTGGTCATTCAACATGCCTACTTCGAAGAAAAATTCTCACTCGTGACGGGCCATTTTGCAAAAAAAAGTTCGCTTTTTTTTTACTCTTCTTTCGATTTGGCCTTCCTGTCTTTTTGCTCCCCGAAACTTTGACAAAACTGCTCATATAGTAGCAAAACATTTCTATCATCAACTGTTCGTCTGGATACGAACTAGAGGGCGTGATTGGAATCAATCTTGTCATTTGAATCTCTCTATACTACTCCCTCTAATAAGATTGTCATGGTTAAAAAAAGAGTGTTTGTTACGTACGGCATTATCAAACTCTGATGGGATCAAATTTTTTTTCTTTCCATCCAAGAGGACTGTATCGGACTTAGCTTTGCTTTTGTCACCGAATCTTATCTAAGCCTATAAATCCAAGTAACATAATTAACCACCATAATGAAGGACCAAGTCACAGATCGATAGAGCCGTACGTAACTAAGAACGTAATGCACTGTCTCAGTACTGTAATTCAATCATAAAAGAACCGCCAATTTCAGTATCATATATCATTATTTTTTACAACCATAACGACGATGAAGCAGAAGCTGCCTATGATCTTACTGGGCACTGGCGGCGGTCGTTTTCGCGACGGTGATAGAAAGCGTTACTGCAATATTAGACGCCGTGACGATTGGTGGTACCAACCAGCTGAGCAGCAGCAACGGCGGCGCGGGCGCGGTTTTGATAGTGCACTGCCAATCTGGAGACAACGATCTCGGCGGCCAAGAAACCGACGTCGGTTCGAGGTACACGTGGCACTTCGTGACGAATCTCTTCGGAGGGACGTATTTCTGGTGCGACCTGGATTTGGGGGATCGTCGCCTTTCTTTCACGGCGTTCGATCAGGAGAAGAGGGGTCGGTTCGCTTCGGAGTTTTATGTGGGCGACGGTGGCGTTTATAAGGAGTTTGGATGTTCGGGGAATCCGATTGTTGCGTGGAGGCCGAAAGGTTAGCATCCCAAGTTATAGGAAATTTATCAATCTCCCGACGTGACTCCCCAATTTGTTAAGCACACAGTATCGATGAGAGCCTGTGAAAACTTGGATTTGCTATACTCGTGACTTTTGTTTTAAGAGAGAGCGTGTGAGTATGTAGTAAAAGATTTTCATTATGAATGTCTCCCAACAACTGGAGTTATTTGGGATCTACTGGTTCTCGACGTATTGATGTATTGTCCTTCTATACATGCACAAAAAGCTTGACTTTTGTCGTGAAGACGAGATAGTTGTCGAAGGTGAAACCACGGTCATATGTATGATTAAGGACGACTGATTCGTCACAATAAACTTCAGATGTTGGAAGAAGTGTCACGAGAGCGGATATCATTCATATTACTCCCTACATATATGTCTCCTCATATTCCGAACTTGGATAGGTAATATCAGGACCGTCAAAATTCGAATACATTACTTTGTGCTCTGTCGAAGATTTTCGACGCTTTGAGAATTTTATTTTAATAACTCAAATTATTTAAAGAAATTAAAAAAAAATCCAATTATGTATCTTATTCCCTTATAAAATGAAGTCCAATACATTCCAATTGTGGCGATGGAATGGAAGCCATAAGGTCAAGGAGGTGTGACCAATTGAGCATAGTGTGAGACTGTGAGTTACCTTTGCGATAGTGATCAAGATCTCATGATTTGAGGCGTCCTCAATGATCGTATATTGAATAATGCGGAAAGTTTATAAATTAACAATCGGTCTAGAAATTAGTACCCAAAAAATTAAAATCTGAGACTGCTATCTAAAAAACTAGCTTTTTACCCGACCCGTTGGTCGGATGAATTTAGTTTTATTTATTATATTATTATATTAATCTATTTTTCATATTTTCAAATAATTTGGGATCGTCTAAATAATTTATTAGTGGGTTGCAACTAATATTTGTGCGAATCATTGATTGTAATATTAGTTAGTTTATAATTATTTGTATTGATCATGCTATCGCTTACTGTTGTCTATATATTTTTTACATTTAAGAAAAAAATTACTTCCTATTGTTAGAATAAATTACTTAAAAAATATTTCTTCATAAAATTTGATATTATTCACTTATTTTTCTATTATATCCATGAAAATAAAATAATTAAGCATTGAAGTATTAATTATAAACTCCAAGGGATTTTCCCTATTAGTAATTTGGAGGGATAAAAATTTATCAAATAATGGATTCAAATTGTCGACAACCATTAGGTACATATTGAGAAAATACAAATTTATTAACTAATAATTCACTTTTAAATAATATATATCTCCAAAAGCAGTTGTGGTTGTTAATAGCTAATATTAATGTATACGGATAGTACAATTGTATTATAATGGACATATCTGAAATATTCCAATTATTTCTTCAAAATTTTAATTAAATAAGGCACTCTATAGTTCAAACATACAATCATTTGTTGTGAAAATTAAGTTTCTGAAAAAGATTCACGATTTTAGGAAATCAATATGGATTTTTTATAATTGATTTTGGTGTTGCCTTTGATATCTAAAAGTCAACACTTATAGATTTGTCGACTATGTCATTTGAAAGATTCTAAAAATTTATAACAAATATGTACCACCAACAATAAAGAACTTTTTTGTCAAAAATTTGTGTGCCCATAAATTTGTTCTTAGCTTTGTGCTCGGCTTTTAGCTCGATAGTATAACATATGCTAAATTTATGACAGTCCTTGTGTCTGTCACCTATTTCATAGCATATTAGGTTTCGAGTATCCACAAATATTAGTACGCTTTCAACAATTATGTTTATAGTTACACGTATACTAACATTATGAAGTGAAAATTTACAACAATAAATAACTATAATAAAGAAAATTAATTAAAAAGAATACCATCCGTAAAGCTCAAGAATTATTAGTGAATTAGTTGGTAATCTATTATCCTCTTGCAAAAAAATGGACAATTACATTATGCTCATCGCTATTTTTGGAAGGTCAGATGATCAACAATAAAAGTCGGGGAATTTCAAGAAGATTCCCAAAGATGTTTCCCTCCCTCCAGGCAAATGATCGACTTTGCTTTTGCTAGTAGAGAATGGAGCTATTATACCTGCATAAAACAATGTCTCTTGAAATAGTGTTTATTTTCAACAATTTGCACAATTCCAAATTGATTGATAGGTCAACGCGATCACATATTTTATTGACTTATCTGTTGATCATTATAATTAGAAGCAACAAATAAAATGAAAAGCATAGTGATAAAGATGACTATTAATACCATAGACCGATAGACGCATCCCTCTTCGCTACTTTCTGTTGGCAACTATGGAAAAATAGAAACCTCTGGGCCTTCGAGAGACTATTGGCGCCGGCAACCCAGTTAGCCTACCAAATCGGGAAAATGCGAGTGCAGATTGATCAATCTTCCAGGAGGATTGGGCAGGTTCTCGGGGAGGCTACAGAGTGGGTGGAAAGGGGAAATAGAATAGGGTTTGGGATTTTCACAAAAAGGCTACAATTTCCCCTTTATTAGTTGTTCTGGGCGTCGCCCACCAAAGTGAAACCGCGTCTCCGAGTGCCCAGGTGCCTAGATCAATCGCCCAGAGCTAGACTGGGCGATTTCCTCCTGCCCAGCTATTAATCGCGCCTAGGCGAGAGATTAATCGCGTCTTCTTGAACACTGAATAAAAGTGGACCAAACAAAGACATTACATCAAACTCATTTCAGTTCCATCTTAACACAGTATTGGAGGCATGTACTATTATTATACAAATGATCTTACGCTATCAATTAGGAACTAAACGAAGGTTAAATGCTTGATTGGCAAACTAAATCGATGAACCTAGTGATCTTAAAGAAAAAATTAATGATCACATGATTTCTTGGACCAAACTACTAAATGAAAAAAAGAAAAAAGAGACCGTACATTAGCATAAGAACTCAACAAATTACTTATAAAAACTAATGACATAAGGAAAATGTAAACTCAAACCGTTCTTCCGAAGGTCATGGATTAAATCATTAGTTGTCGATTACATAGCCTAAACTGCAAGTTATATCCAAAATAGAGGCAATTTAGAAACAAAAAAGTCAGATAAGTAAGCCGTGAAACACAGAAAAATTGAGTGAACAAAGTGGGAAGTATTGCTTTCAATTAAGCTTGATTATGTTGACATAAAGCAGGCACACATTGACGTTTGAAACCTAAACAAAAAGCTTAAAAAGTGGCAAGAGAATTCTTCCCTTGAGGTTCAAATATAGCCTACCTATATAAGCAGAGCCAAGTAATTACCATGATTCCATTTTACACATACCATCTCACAACCAACTGCTGCTAATGCTCTGGTATGTTCCAAACCTCACCTGCTCATATCTCCAATATCATATCACGAAACCAAGAATTATACACAACTAAAAGATCCAATAAGGAGAGTAACTTAGTATGGAACTTTGTGATGGGGGCAAATTCTATGGTCAGTATTAAGCTGTGCAAATTATATCACCTCCTCCATTTTACCTCTGCAAAGCTCACTACTTCCAGTAGTTTCTCACAGAACCAGCTACCGTCCTAATCCCTTCCTTCCTTCCTTCCCAGGGTCAGAGTGTGAAAAATGGCGTCCATCTCCGCCACAACCACAGCTTCTTCCTTCATCCATGCATCTCTCCGTCGCAACCCCTCTCTAGGGGTTTCCTCCGCCCCAGTTCTCGATGAGTACTCTTGACGCCCCCTCCCCTGAAATTCACAATTACCTCTGGCTTTTATCAATTCAGCTTGGGGGAACCAAGAAATTGAATCGATTGGGTGATATGCAGGGCTGTCGTCGATGGCGAAGAGAGGGAGAGTGGTGAAGTGCTCGGCGGAAGGAAACGGAAGCAACGACAGCGGGTGGGAGAAGAAGGGGATGATGAGCGCTTCGCTGATGGCGGCGGTGGCCGCAACAGCTGCGTCGAGCCCAGCGGCGATGGCTCCTCAACGGATGCGAGTAGCTGGAGGGTTTGTAGCGACCTTCTAGAGGCTGAAGCAGAGAAGAAAGAAGAAGCAGGGTTCATGGCGGCGGGGGAGACGGTGGTGGCGGCGGCAGTAGTTGTGCTTCTCGCCGGAAGGGAAAGCCTCGATCGTCGACAACCTCTTCGCCACGGAGATCGTTCGCTGCACTCCCAAACGCGATCTCCCCAGTCGCAGCAGAAGCGGGCCGTCACTGCTTTCCGCCACTGACCACCAAAACGTCTGGTCGTCTTCCCATGAACTCAGCAACAACCGGCCGTCAGCGCCTTCCTCTGCTGAACACAAAACCGTGACGCCCTCTTACCAGAATTATCCGATGGAAACTGATTCTCCTCCTGTCCTGCGGGTAGGCGAAAGGATAACGTGGGAACCCAGTAGAAAAGGTGGGCTTATTTCAGCCAAACGAAAATTAAATGAAAAATAAATAATAACTAAATGATAACATGGGAAACCAGGAGAAAAAGGTGGGTAGTGGACGATTCTTAGTTCTGGCGGCGAGTTCTATTTTTTTCCCGCTCAACACCCTGCCACATCAGCTTCCTAAAATCACTCTATGGACAGAAAAATTTGAATGGGGGTGGCAGTTTTACTTTTCAGCTATAAATTATACTGTTGATACCAAAGTTTATAAATTAACAATCGGTCTAGAAATTAGTACCCAAAAAATTAAAATCTGAGACTGCTATCTAAAAAATATCAAGAGATAAATTTGGTCCCGGCGGGGCTCGAACCCGCGACCTTCGGCTCATAAGACCAACGCTCTAACCAACTGAGCTACGGGACCAAGACAACATTTAATATAGGCTATCATATTACAATTTATTATTATTTTGTTCCATATTATGTAAGAATTAAGATTGTGTATTGGAGAGCTCAAGGTATGACAAAATTGAGTCTGATCGATACTTCCATGTTGAAAACCTAACAATCATAATATTCCACGTCTTGACCAAGCCTTATTCGCAGGAGTGTCCTGGAATCTTGAAAGGGTTT